CAGTGGTGGCCTCCTGGTTCCCTGCAGGGACCTGCACCACGGTCCCAGCACCCCCACCACCCAAGGAAGAGGGTCCCGACACTGCAGGTTGTGAGCAGACGCCTGAAAGCGACTGAGGGAGGGGACAGACGCTGGGAGGAGGAAGACGGGTCGCACAGTACCTGAGCCGTCCCCATGGTGGCGAGCTGGGTGCAGGCTGAGGGCTCTGGCTGGTGTGAGACCCACGGAGCTATGGCCGTGCCTGGGCTGGCGGGGAAGCCTGTGATGAGGAATGGACAGAAAGGGGGAAAATGTGACAGAGGGTAAACAATGCCCCCACTGGGAAAAACATGAAGCTAAGCAATAACTAAACCAAGTGAAAACAGCAATCCTGCAAAAACTAAGCAGGCATACAGAACTGTGTATAAAAAAGAACAGCAGGAATTTCAAAAGCAAAGCTTGCAGTGATGTACCAAGTGCACTCAGTGTGCATAACTGTGAAGATATTATCATCTCAATTGTAAAGCAGGATTTGAAGTGATAATAGGTTTAACAATTTCCAAATATTAAAGCAAAGAGAAAAACAATAAAACCATACTTTAAATCAGGAGTTACAATTCCTGATATAACCTGATGATACAAACAGTGCTTGTGAACTTACACTGGTCCCTCCAAGGACAAGGCAGACCCCAAAAGTGGAATAGAGGGCCCAGAAACATGAACAATCGCGGATTTCTCTTCAGGAAGAAAAATGGGGGTCATACACCTAGATATCACTGAGGGAGGCACTGAGGTGCTAATGCCTGTATTTTGATTCAATATAAGATTCTCTGCCCAAGTTTTTCACTGCGTACTAACACATGAAAGCATTTCTGCCCTGGCCATGAACTGGATGGAACAGGAACACTGGGTTTTTTGAGCAGGTGCATCTGTAAGATCAGTCGGGAAAACATGATGTCCTCTGTTTCCTTACTGAGCTAGTGTGATCACAAAACACTCTCCTACACACGTCACGTGGCCTTTAGAAAACATGGTCATGTGATGTTAACTTTCATTAAGTTCATGAGTGCCATCTGAAAATTGTGCTTTGTCACCAAAATCTGTGAAAAAGCATTGGTTTGATGACAGATTACTAAATTCCAAGTGATCACTCCCAAATATACAATTCTAAACGCAGAATACTGGATCTTTATTTTTATTTTTTGACACTAGGGAATGAACCCAGGGCCTCTGCACTGAGCTACACTTCCAGCCCTTTTTGCTTTTTTTTTAATTTTTTGAGACAGAATCTCACTAAATTGTAAGTCCCAGGGCCACCCTGAACTCACAGCCTTCCTACCTTGGCCTCCTAGAGTGCTAAGATGACAGGCATGCACGACCATGGCCAGGTGGCCTCTCGTTTTAGCAAGCACTTCTTATATTTATACTCACCCTAGGACAACACACAAACTGAAAGCCAATCAATCACTCGATTCTCACAAGCAGCTAGCACCAAGCTTCTCTGGTTGTCCATGTAGATGGCGTATTCACATCCAGGTTCAAGGCGGAAGCCTCCACCTCTCCAGAATGGACATTCTGCTCAGAACAGACATCCCATCCACCCAGCTTGTTCCTTTCCTTCGCTCCTCTCCTATGGCCACATCAGTGGACACAGAATGACTTGATTGTTTTTCTCTTGCATTGAAGAATCATGATTGAGCCTATAAACACCATATTGTTGGACACCGGGTAGTTTCCAGTTTTCCCAATTATAAGAACTATGCAGGCATTTCTGTATGCTCCTCAGAGCTGTTCAGAATAGGTTTCCAGCAGGTAGAACTACTGAGTCCAGGAATACCACATCATTAGCCCAACATGTTACCAAAACATCTGTCTCCGCTTACACTGTCACATATTACCAGTCTGTCTTTGCCTCTGGAGGAAAAACAAAGTTTCCTGCTGCTTTCACAGAGCTTGGGGCTCTCTAATGTGGCTACTGAGCAAATATATTTCTATGTAAACTGTGTTCCTTAGTTTTTATTTTTTTATGGAGATTTTTTCTTTATTGAGAAACTTAAGACTCGGGTACTTCAAATAAAACCAATTTCTGGGGAAAAAAATCAAAATCCACAATAGAAAAAAAAAAATGCCTGGGCCATAGCAGAACCCAGAGAATATACTCTTATAATTGAAAAGTTCTAGGTGCTTCATAATTGACTTTTTGATACAAAATGACCTATTCAATTTGCAACTTGTGGTTCTCAGTGTTGAGGTCCATAGGACAAACTAGGAAGTCTTCAAACATTGAGCTGAATTCCATGAAGGATTATTTGGCTTTTCAATCGTGTTTTCCTTGTCTAAGAGGTAACAGCAGCAACAGTGCCCACCTTCTGGCAGCTTCTTTCTTGGCATGATGAGCCTGTAGAACTGCCACAGCTTCATCCACCTTGGAGTGGAGAGACTTGGGGGACTCGAGCGTGTGCAGCAGCTCCGAGTTGTCCATCTCCAGTGCCTGTGAACTTGCCAGCCAGGCTCGAATGCCTTGTTTGGATGAGGGGGAACAGACGTTCTCCGAGCATCTGCTCTGTTCCTGGGGGGTGGAGGGAGGCGCTACAGCCAGCATGGAGGCGGTCAGGGGCTAGGGTGCCTGCAGAGGCTGTTGGCAGGGTGTGGGCTGCGGACCCTGGAGGCACACTTGTATGGTGCCACAGCCCAGGGAGGGGCAGCAGCAACTGCAGCCCGAGGCACAAGGTTCGGCACTGCTCTGGGAAAACTGACTCTGAGTGGTAGTAGGGAGGCCATGAGAGGCCGGAGCATGAGCAGTTGGGAGCCAGATGGCGAGCTGGACGAGGCCGAGCTCAGCGTACAGCACTTGGCATTCCTCGGAAGCCTTGAGGTCCCCCACCTTGCTGCCAGCGTGGATTAGGCCTCATCTGTGCCAGATGGTTAGGTGTGTGACCTGGAGGTCTTCCCCAAGCCTACGGGAGGGCTGGCACAAAGTAGCCACCAGCTGCAGGCTGGAACTGGTTTAAGAGGGCACTCGCAGGGAGGGCTCTCACTCCAGCCACCCGCTGCATGGACTGGTTGGTTAGGTGAGCCTTTCTTCCTTCCTTCCTCTGGGCTTGGGCAACATACAGTGGCTTGGAACCCACAGTGCGGGCATTCATTTCAGTGACTGCTTGGGTTGCCTCCTCAGGAGATGAGAAACAGACAAAACCAAATCCTTTGCTTCTTCCATCCTCCAGCATTACCTTAGCACTGGTGATTGATCCAAAAGGAGAAAATCTTTCCTTAATTTCTCATCATCAATGGTGTCATCCAAGTTCTTATTGTAGAGATTCACACCCTGGTATCGACTAATTTTCTCCTGTTTCAGCTGCTCAAATTCCCATTTTAATTCGGCCTGCTGTACTACTTTCTTCAGTGCATGGCCTACAAATATGACTTGCACATTGATTTCTTTTCTGTTCATCTCTTCCACGGCCTTATTGGCATCCTCGTGTTTTTCGTAACTCACAAAGCCAAAGCCTTCGGATTTCCCACTGGGATCTCTCATCACCTTGACACTCAGGGTCTTACCAAACTGGCTGAATAGCTCCTCAACTTTCATCATACACCTCTTCTCCAAAGTTCTGGATGTTAACACTGGTGAATTCCTCGGCTTTGGCTCCAGGCTCAGCCCCCCGCTCTTTTCGAGACTTGAATCTGCCCACAAACACTTTGCAGTCATTGAGGAGCACGCCATTCATCTTCTCGATGGCCTTGTCGCAGCAAAGCAGAGAAGGTATCATAAAGTGCCTTGTTATCTATAGATTTGTCCAGGTTCTTGATGAAGACATTTCCCACACCAGACTTTGTCAAAGATGGATCCTTCTGGGGCCACATGATATAGATTTGCTTTCCTTTAATCCCATCAAAGTTCATGGTGTCCAAGGCCCGCTCAGCTTCAGCTGGCTGCTGGAAGCTGACGTACGCATGACCCAGGGAGCGGCGGGTGATCACATCGCCGCAGACCCGGATGGGCAGCACAGGCCCCGCCCGACTGAACTTTTCATATAGCACGGCCTCGGCCGCATCCGAGTGCAGATCGCCCACGGAGAGGGAGGCCACGGGGTAGCTGCGGGCTGCAGCGTTCATCTCCCCGGCCCCACCACCCGAGCCCCGCCAGGAGGCCTTCTCACGGGGCCCACGGCCGGGCGGACGGGGCTGTCTCGTCTCGGAGCAAGGGCCACGCCGCGGCTCACAGGTGGCAGGGCGACCGGGAAGCTAGCACTGGCCTCCGGAGCCGGATCACGCGGGACGCAGGAGCTCGGCAAAGGCTCTCAAAAGCAGTATGGCCCTCCCTGGTGTTAGGTACGTATGTCAGAGCCCCCACAGAGCAAGCCCCCTCCTCTCCTCCCCCCCCCCGCCCCACTCCGTCCCCAGGGAACAGGGAGCTTCCGCCTCACTAAGGCACGACCTCCCTTTGTCAGTGACTCCCTGCCTAGTTAAGCACTTTCTGCCCCACCAGTTTCGTGGTCAGATGTTCCAGTAAGATAGGGGCTTCCCGAAAACGGTGACTCCATCCCCCCAGCGGAAACCTGTTGCTACATACCCCAGCCGCAATCACCCACCCCCACCAACGGACTGCTGCTCTCCCACCTGCAAGACCCTACATAAGCCTGCAGCTCAGCCCATGCAGTGGCTGGTCTCCCGCCTGTGGGTCAGCCCGGCAGGCTGCAGACTGCCGCCCCAATAAAGGCTTGCTGCTTGAACGCCCTTGTGTGCCCCCTTCTTCGGCGACCCTTTCACCCGGGAGTTTGTTATTTCCCGCTGTCTGGGCTCGAAGCTCCAAATTAAAAAAATATATATATCAGGCAGGAAAATCCCCTACCGGAGGTGGGCAAAAAAAATCCTTCCAGAGGCAGCCAGATGCTGCCCACGCTGGCCTTGAGGACACGCGTTTCTGGATAAACACAGGCCCTGGCTCCCAGCGGTTTACGACTACAGCAGTCCAAGAAGGGGAAGCCAATCTTCTGCGGCTCCAGGCGGCCAGCACAGCCCCGGGGCAGGGCGGCTCCGCGGTAAAAACAGGCGGCGGGCTGGCTGGAAGCAAGCGCCAGCGACTTCCCCGCGGGCTCTCGGAGGAGCACTCGCTTTTTCTTTTTTCTTTATTATTATTTTTTAAAGGTTTTGAAGCGTTTTCAGATTTTTTTTTTATCTTTTTCTCTTTTTTGTTGCTTCAGGCTACTGAGCCCAAAAGCGGCTGTGCGGAGAGAACGAATAAACTCTTCATTAGGACCGCGCATTGCTTTATGGCACACGCCGGACACTGAGCTAGCCTCTCAGCTGCAAGTGCTTTCTCTCTGCATGGCCTCCTCTACTAACTTCTTTAACGCTGCCTTCCAACGACACAGGAGCGTTTAATCTTTATGACTCCAAATCTATCGATTATCCCTTTAATGGATTTTGTGGGTTAAAAAGACCTTCTCAATGCTACAATTTAAAAAGCCTCTCAGTACATTTTCTTTTAACACTTCTGTAGCTTTTAATGTTTAAATATTTAATGTATTTTAAAACTTTTTGAGTTGTGAACAGTAATTTTATTTTCTCTCCAGTGGATAACCAATTGTCCCAGCAAATTCACTGAGTAATCCATATTTTCTTAACCTGAACATGCCACCCAAGTGACAGCATCTGCCCACAAATGACGGATCACCTGCAGCATCAAGTGTTTCTCCAGGTTCACCACAGCCCTCTGCTCGGATCTCCCTTAAACTCTTGATGGAGCCATCCTGTGAATTTATTCTTGTAGGGTAACTGTATTATCTCCTAATGAACGCCCTCTTTCCACCTTCACTGTGGCTCCACATAGGAAAGGATTCTGCTGGGAATCACACGGCCTGCACACAGACACACACACACGTACGTACACACACCCGTCGCAGGTAAGTGCTGTCCATGTGCCTCTGCTAGGACCTGTCTTACGCCCTTTCCAAGTACTATCCTATCTTGGCTTTTCCCCCCATAAACCATATGCATTCCTGTTTCATTCCAAGGTATTTTGTGTGCTTGCTGTTTCTGATAATGGGACCCATTTTTCTGTTACCCTATCACATACAGTAAGTTATGATTTTTATCTACTGATCCCACTTATCAAACAGACACTGTATGGTCTCTTCCACCTCCCAGTGAGAATAAATCTTTTGATCCCTGGTGTCCTTGCCTGCATCTCCCTACGCACAAGAACAGCAGGGAGCAGCAGCACGGCTCTGGTGTGTGTGAGCAGCACATGCTCTGCTGCTCTTCCTGGCTTCTCCCACTATTCTTCAGGTCAGGGAAGCGTCCACCCCAGTTCTTTCACTTAGAATTTAATTGGAAACGGTGCTGTGTTGTTTCTAGGTCTTCTGTAATAATCATGAGGAGTTCATTCCTTTGTAATACGTTCACTTTATCCATGATTACAATAGAGATCCTTTTACAGAAATAATATTGCATTTATAGAGCAAAGCCTACTTCCTCATTTTTCACATCTAACTAGATTCGCATTGCTTATATGTTGTTAGAAAATTCATATCTACATTCTTAAGTGAAACAAACCCTTTTCTGCTATCTTACCAAGGTTCAGGATCAATCATTAAAAGAGAGAAATATTCATTACTCTGGAACAGTTGGAACAACACAAAATTATCAGTTCCTAAAAGATCATGAAGAATTTACCAGTGAAATATCTGGCCCAATGTCTTTTATAAAAATAGACCTCTAAAAACTTTAATTACAGTTATTGCTCCATCGACATTTCTACATTTGGTTTAAATCAGTTTATATCATTTATATTCACTAAGAAAAACAACAAATTCACCCTTATTTTCAAATTTCTTACAGAAATGCCTACAGACAATCTTAAGGCCCAATGAACTTCTTCTAAATCTTGTTCAGTTGGGTTAGCCCATCTGCAGACATCACTGAAACAGTGGGCGAAAGGAAATAACCACACAATGCAGATAAGTGCTTCTATTTTCCCAGATCATTGCTAAGGTCCTCACTCCCAGCAGCTCCTACATTGACGTTTTTAAACACATAAATATGTATTCAAAAGCACCATTAAAATGAGTCATTACATTCTCAATAGGAAGTTTACAATAGGTGTGTTAGAATAATCACTATTGTGCTTTAAATTCTTTTTTCCTACACTCGAAGGCTGAACATCATAATTTTGATCTGATTTCACAACCCTGTTTAAAAACTTAGCTCCTGCTGACTTCTGATTGCTAATCTGTTGTCCCATCTTTATCACAGCTCCTCGGCACACCAAATGCAAAGATGTGCAGTCGATTTACTTCCATCTGTTCCTACTTGAGTCGTTTATAGTGCGTTACTCTGTGATTACAGATTTAATTGCAGACCCAGGAGCATCACATTATCAACAACAGAAACCCTCTGCACACCCCCTTCTCCACCATCAACCCTGCACCAGGCTGCTCCTGCCGAAGGTGTGACCCTCCTCACTCCTTCATTTCTCTTGGGATCCTGAGAAACCGGGGCCAGAGATGTCACCTGCATATCCCAGCAGGCAGAGGCCCAGGGGCCCCCAACAAGTGAGTGTCACTCCATGGGGTTAGCATGCCTACCTTGGTGTGAGCTTCAGGGGAGATGGCTGCGCCTTTGGACGACCTTCAGACCTCAGCATCAATTCTCTCTGGCCTCCCAGGGACCACCCTGCAGGCCTCAGACTGCTGGCAGCCATGACACATGAACCAATCCCTTGTAACGAAGCCCTCTCCCTACTCTCTCAGCACACATGCAGGAGCAAGTGCGCGCGTGCGTCCACTCAGCCCTGTTTCCCTGGAGAAGAGTGACTCGTATGGATTTCAGTGACTCTCTGGAGGCACCACCACCCACGACTCTTCAGGACCCTCACATCAACTACACCTAGGCTGGTGGCCAGAAATGGAAAAGCCAACCCAAACTTGCTCAATCTTAAGTGATTTAAGGGTTCATGTGACTGTGAGGCCCAGCATCCCCAGTCTGTTTATTTCCACCTCTTCCCCTGGACACGGGTTGCATCCAAAAGCTGATCACACCTCACAGTGGGAGGACGTTCTGGTTGGATCCCAGAGATGTCTTGTTCTCATCAAGAAACAACAAGAGTGAAACCACATTTCCAGAGCTGTGGTGGAGGAGGGAAGAGACCTCTCAGAGCCAGAGTCCCGTGGGGCTCAAAGGTTTGGACCAGGTGGTATCCCCCACCTCGGAGGATACAGCCTGCTTGCTCCGGGACCGAGGCCCCACAGAGGTAGAGGAGGCAGCTGTGGAAAATCTAGCAGAAATCAGGGACGTTACCAGTCACCTTGCATTACCAAGGAAGTAAGGGAACATCTGGGAGGTGACCACATTATAGGGCCTCTACTTGGAATCTCCAAAAACTCTTATGTGTCCCACAGATGTTACAGCCAGAGACCCATCTGAGTTACCCTGACACCAGTACTGACAAGAGCAGCTCGTCTTTCACAGTCAAACACATGTCCCTTAGTCACATAACTGCATCACCCAAGACGGAGCCTGGCACCTGTCAGCACAGTGGGAAGCCAACACACAATATGAGGAAATCGATTCACAAATCACTGGAAACTACTTTTCTTCCTCCTCTGTCCTCAGTTTTAAAAACCATTAATAAACAAATTGAATAAGAAAACTCAGTTATGTTTCCTTATAGTTGATTATCCTGTTGAAAATAGCAATACAATTTAGTAAACAAAGTTTAAGAAGATATGCTCCAGTGTGTGTCACAAATAAGGGTTACAGAGAAACAGTTTACCATGCAGTGAAGTTCATTTATAGAATGTGCTTCAAAAACAATAGGTGGCAAAGAGCTATATGCAAAATCCAATTATCAGAGTATTAGACATTTACAACTTTGCATCACAATTGTTTTGTAATCATCATATTGCCATTACCACGATGTATAATGCTGTGTACCAAATTATTCTGTATTTTGCTTAATATTTTAATTAATGACTAAAGATAATAAACAGCATTTCAGTACAAAATGCATTTGAGCAATATTAAATTGTCGTGTGTAGCAAGAATCAGTGAAATTGGAGGAATTAAAAGACAGAGGAGGACTGTGAAGATCTGCCATGGAGACCTCGCCAGGCCTAGGCTGAGCCCACAGAGCCCACAGAGAGACGCAGAGAGAACGGGGTGGGCCGGTGTCCCTGCAGACCACAGACAGAGAGCTGAAAGGCTGGGAGTGGATCCAGCCCAAGTCGAGGTCCCTGGTGGCCTGACACAAGCTGTCCACCACAGCATCAGCCCGACTGTGACCTTGTCCAAGACCTCAGCAATGAATGACTCATCCACTCCACGCAAGGGCTCGGCTCTGGGCTTGCTGCATGGAGAGCAAGCAGAATGCCCGGCAGAAGAGCTGCTACGAGGGCAAGGGATGACAGACACGTACTGACAGGTGGCTCCTCCCAGGAGCCCTGGGCTGGTGGGGTTCTCTCTTCACCAGTGCCTTCCTACAGCACCAGGGCAGGCAGAACAACCAGACACTCGTCTCCTTGGAGAAGGCAGGAAAAGGTCACCCGTTTGCACTACTTTCAGTCGCACGGACTCATATTGGTAGATCCTGGCCCACCACAAAAAGAAGACAGTTTCTCTGTAATTCATCCCCAGTGCCATATCAAGTCAGCACTTCAGGCAAGACGGGATCATGCCATGTAAAGGCAGGCCGAGGGTGCCTAAGACACTGGGGTATGTGGCCCAGGAAACCATGGGAGAGTAGAGGAGGAAGGGAGAGGGAGGGGGGAAGAAGGGAGACGAGACAGAGACACAGAGAGGGGCAAGGAAGAAAGGAGACTGAAGCAGACAGACGGACACAGAGACAGAAACACGGGAGGGAAGGAATGCAAACTTGCCCCAGCAAGTCACTGATGACAGGTGTTTCTTAGCAGCAAAAATTAAGACCAAGACAAATGCTCTAAGTACAGTCAAAGCCAACCAACAAAAGTTTCTAGGGCTGAGAAGTACGCTGCGGACAGCCAGTTAGGGAGGCTTCCTGGACATGCTCTCTGCCCGAGATCCTTCCAGGAGACCACACAGAGCAGGGAACACGTGAGGAGAAGTGCCCAGTGCCCACAAGGGTGCAGACCCCATGACTGGGAGCTGAGGTGCCTCCCCGAGGTGCTGCTGACCCTATCACGCTCCAGGCAGGCACGCACTGCAGCCGGATGGGCTACAACCACGAAGCCACCTGGAGACCCCATGCTGCACTGCTAGGAACACTCACCCTAGTCCTCTTGTGCATGCAGGCTCTGCGTCGGTGCAGCTCTCCCACTGCAGGGCCCTAGTCTCCAGCCCTGGTCCTGTGGGAGGCAGGAGGGGCCACCACCCCACACCCAGCCCTGCAGCTCCTATCTTGGGACCAGAGTCCCAGGCTCATGGCTCCCCTGGGTCTCCACAGGACCTCCCTGACCTCGGCAGACCTGGGCCATGGCAGAGCAAGAGCACCCTCTCAGGAGGGAGGAGAACATGAACGGAGCGGCGTCCGGTGTGAACTGCGTGCGGGAACCACTGTCACCTTCGCGCCCCCCGAGCCAACACAGACACACATCGTCAGCAGGTAGCAGCCAACCAGAAGCCACATGCACCCTGGGGAAGGGTTCGAGGTTCTGCGCCTGAGGCAGGAGACTGAGGCCAAGGCCTGTCTGTGCACTGTGACTGCAGGCTCTGCTGGGGGGAAACAGCTCACACAGGCCTGCGCAGCCCTGACCCAGAAGCTCCCTCGTTCCTTCAGTCTTGCTTTCCTTTCATGGGTCCACGTCATTTTCAATGATGTTAGTGTGCTACTGACTTCCAATCTCGCTGCCCGGTGTAGGCAACCTCTTGAAAAGGAGGGTGATGTGGAATCTGGAACTGTGGCTGACCAGGAAAGTCTGCTGTCACACTTAACAGTCGTGAGAAGCAAGGCTGAATCAGCCGTGATTTCTCCAAACTGCACCAGAACACAAGAGGAAGAAGGCGGTGCTCTGGCTTGCTGATCCACATCCCGACCACAGGAAAGTGCTGTGCACGACACCACTGCCTCAGCCATCCTTTGCTGAGCCACCTCCCTCTCCATCCTCAGAGGACTTGGCACATGTGGGGCAGGCAAGGAGTGCACCTTGTGCATTTAGTGTGGCCCATTCCCAGGCCACGGTGACCAGCTTGGAGGTGCTGTAGGAGCAACTGGGGACAACCACGAGGACAACACGGCTCCAGCTGCCCAAGTCCCGGCAGGAAGGTCGCATAGGAGGCTGGGTATCTGCAGTGTGTCCCTCCTTGGGCATCACTGAGCTCTCAGGCCTTGCTTCCCAGCGTGGGATCCTGAAAGTCCCTCTATGTCTGTAAAACTTGTGAACTAAGGATCTTGTACTTGTAAGCAAACAAATCTAACTCATCCTTCGAACTACACTTCTATTATGGTGATGGTCCCTCTGAGTTCAGGCATCTTAGAATTTAGGTGTTACCATGTCCAACTTCCATGCTGTTTCCAAATGCCACTGACAAGTACCATATGCAAAGAAAATTATCAAAGCATAGTATTCCGCCTTTTTCCCCATAGGGAAGGAATAGGAAGGGAGACCCGGCAGGAGTAATAGTCCAGGCTGAAACTCTGCATGCAGCTTCGTTCCCTCTAGAAACATGAGTATTATGTTCCTGGTCAGGATCACATCCAAACAAGGCTATTTTGCTGTGGTCTACAGGAAACTCTGTCATCAGCCAGGCTACAGCAGCTTGTAGAGACCTCAGGTGTTTCAGGAGTTCAAAACCACAAACCCTAAACACTCAAAACACAATCTTTGATGAATGGGGAACCACAGCACCGAGTCAGAGTTGGGCTGGAATCCCAGAGTCATCAGACAAAAACAGACTCTGCAGCCTGTGTAAAACACCCCGACCCAGGGGCCAGGGCAGCCTCACAGCAGGCGTGGGTACGACCCCACGGTGCGATGTAACCACTCTGGTCATGGCAGAGCACAGGTGGCCTCCTGCTCTGAAGCCCCTCTTGCCACCACTGATGCTCATGCTGGCTCCTCAGCCTCCCTGAGGCTGGCAGTGTGTAATGGACACATCTTCCGACACAGTCTTTGGCGTTAAATTTCTCTTGGAAGCCATTGCCCTGGTGTGAGCAAAACGCCAATTTCCAGACCAGTGTGTGGCACAAATTCCATACAGTCACTCCTGATGCTTGTGACTTCAGCACGAGCTCTGGGAATCCACAAGACAGGGTTTCCACCACTCTTCAGGGGCAGCTGTGTCCACACCTGACTTCAATACCAACAGACTGTGGAGTCTGCATCTCAAAACGGAAGGGGTGGGCCACTGTCCTGGAAAACGGACCCATCTGTGGACACGACATAAACCCTCTTGGGCCCTGCAGCAAGCACCCGGCCACCAGGCCACCAGCCACAGCAACTCATGCACAGGAGCAGAGGCACCACGATGGCCTCCCAGAATTCCCCCTGTCAGGAACACTATTCTGTGTGAGAGATTTGTGTTAAAGGTTTTAGCTGTTCTTGTCATAAAAAAGTAACTATGTAAGACATAGCTATGTTAATCTGCTCCCCTGTGGTGACTATTTTACTGCTCATATTCCATAAACCTCAAATGTACACAATAAAACTTACTCAGAAAAAGAAAGTAAGTAAATGTTGGATAAATGTTACACATGCAGGAGTTACAAATGAATTAGGACCCAGGAAGGAGCTCAAGGTGAGTGCCTGCCTAGCAAGCCTGAGGTCCAGGGTTGCATCCACAGCACCACAAAAAAATAGTAATATTTAAATTAACCAGATGTAGGGTTTGGGGCCAATAGCAGAGGGGCAGGACCCCAGTAGAAATAACTGCAGCATACAGAAAATGCTGTAGTTCTAGGAAGAAGAGTCAAGATCAAAGGTTGAGCTTCAGGTTAGGAACCAGATGGGGTTGAGAGGGCACCTGAACCACAGGCTCACACAAGGGCCCTGGGCGGTTGCAGCATGAGCAGCACTGAGGAACCACGGGCAGCAGCGACAGCAGCAGCAGGAAGCAGCAAGAGGCTGTGGCCAGGATCTCGGGACAGGCTCTGCTAAGGGCATGGGGACCACCCAGGATTTCTCAGCACCAAGGCCAGGTCCCAGCCCTGCCCTGAAGGCCTGAAACCCAGCCCTGAGGGAGCAGGGATGCTGTCAGCGAGCAGCCAATCAAAGTCTGACCAGCCCGAATGCACCAGGGCACGGGCAGCACAGGAGAGGGTGACAGGCACAAGGGAGGCACAGGGAAAAGGCACAGCACCCACAGGGGGCAGGGGCACCAGATCCACCAGGCAGGGAGAGAACATGGTGAGGGAGAGGGAGAGAAGGCCATGGATGCTAGATTCCATCCAGCAAAGGTCACAGCCCCTCGTGAAACACATGCATACACACACACACACACACACACACATACAGATACACATGTGCACACACAGGTACACAAACACGCCCACATCCATGCCCACAAATACCTACAAATGCACATGTACACATGTGCACACAGTCACACAAGTGCACACACATCCATCGCACACACGAACATATCCACATGCATGCACACATGTGAATTCATGTGCACACAAATGCACATAGGTCCCACAGGCCTTCACACAAGGGCCCTGTCATGTCCACCTCAGGTCCAGGCAGCAGGGCTCCGAGCCCTGCCCAGTGGGGAGGAGGTCTCTGTCCTCAGCAGCAAGCAGCCCCTCCACTCCAGAGCCAGAATCTGGCTGGTCCCTGGGTGACAGTCACAAGTCACCTGGCTTGAACGATCATCTGAGCACTTCATGAGGACATCGGCCACATCTGCTGGCCCCTACCTTGGACGACACTGAACACAGGTCAGGATGTTTCCACTGAGCAGCCATCAGGGCTAAGCCCTCCCATG